TGGCCAAACGAACTGAGACTCTGACACTCAGCTGCTGCTGCTGTGGCTGGCTCAGGGTCAGGGTCGGGGTCTTCTCAGGTCGGGGTCAGGGTCGGGGTCTTCTCCCGCCCACCCACGACAGCACAGACACTGCTAACCAGCTAACAAGGGGACGTTCACACAACGTCCTGGTCCGACCACTTGTCAACGTTGGCCCAACGTTCACCCAACGTTGGTCCAACCACTTGCCAACGTTGGTCCAACCACTTGTCAACGTTGGCTCAACGTTCACCCAACGTTGGTCCAACCACTTGTCAACGTTGAGACAACCACTTGTCAACGTTGGCTCAACGTTCACCCAACGTTGAGACAACCACTTGCCAACGTTGGCTCAACGTTCACCCAACGTTGGTCCAACCACTTGCCAACGTTGGTCCAACTACTTTCCAACGTTGGCTCAACGTTCACCCAACGTTGCTCCAACCACTTTCCAACGTTGGCTCAACGTTCAACCAACGTTGGTCCAACTACTTTCCAACGTTTGCACAACGTTCACCCAACGTTGGTCCAACCACTTTCCAACGTTTGCACAACGTTCACCCAACGTTGGTCACAACCACTTGCCAACGTCGGCTCAACGTTCGCCCAGCGTTGGCTCAACGTTCGCCCAACGTCCATCCCACCCGGTCCATCGCGTTGCTCCGTGCGTGCGCATTTGCCAAACGCGAAAGGTTACAACGACACAGCACTCGCTAATGACTCAATAGGGGATTGCACATTACTGAATAATCATATTACAACGACCATCATCATCATCGTGGTGGTGTCAACTTGTACCGATGTGCAGCAGCCACAGCCACCGCACGGGACCCGCTCGCTCACTCTCAGAGAGAGAGGACGACTCAGAGAGAGAGGACGACTCAGAGAGAGACTCAGAGAGAGAGGACGACTCAGAGAGAGAGAGAGGACGACTCAGAGAGAGACTCAGAGAGAGAGGACGACTCAGAGAGAGAGAGGGCGACTCAGAGAGAGAGACTCAGAGAGAGAGAGACTCAGAGAGAGAGGTCGACTCAGAGAGACTCAGAGAGAGACTCAGAGAGAGAGGACGACTCAGAGAGAGAGAGGGCGACTCAGAGAGAGAGACTCAGAGAGAGAGAGGACGACTCAGAGAGAGACTCAGAGAGAGAGGACGACTCAGAGAGAGAGAGGACGACTCAGAGAGAGAGAGGACGACTCATAGAGAGAGGACGACTCAGAGAGAGAGGGCGACTCAGAGAGAGACTCAGAGAGAGAGAGAGGACGACTCAGAGAGAGAGACTCAGAGAGAGAGGACGACTCAGAGAGAGAGGACGACTCAGAGAGAGAGGACGACTCATAGAGAGAGGGCGACTCAGAGTGAGACTCAGAGAGAGATAGGGTGACTCATAGAAAGAGGGCGACTCAGAGAGAGAGGGCGACTCAGAGAGAGACTCAGAGAGAGAGGGCGACTCAGAGAAAGGGCGACTCAGAGAGAGACTCAGAGAGAGAGGACGACTCAGAGAGAGAGAGACTCAGAGAGAGAGAGGACGACTCAGAGAGAGAGACTCCGAGAGAGAGGGCGACTCAGAGAGAGGGCGACTCACAGAGAGAGAGGACGACTCACAGAGAGAGAGCACGACTCAGAGAGAGACTCAGAGAGAGAGGACGACTCCGAGAGAGAGGGCGACTCATAGAGAGAGGACGACTCAGAGAGAGAGGGCGACTCAGAGAGAGGGCGACTCAGAAAGAGAGGGCGACTCAGAGAGGACGACTCAGAGAGAGATAGGGCGACTCAGAGAGAGGGCGACTCACAGAGAGAGAGGACGACTCAGAGAGAGAGGACGACTCAGAGAGAGACTCCGAGAGAGAGGGCGACTCATAGAGAGAGGACGACTCAGAGAGAGAGGGCGACTCAGAGAGAGGGCGACTCAGAAAGAGAGGGCGACTCAGAGAGAGGACGACTCAGAGACAGAGGACGACTCAGAGAGAGATAGGGCGACTCAGAGAGAGGACGACTCAGAGAGGGCGACTCAGAAAGAGAGGACGACTCAGAGAGAGAGGGCGACTCATAGAGAGAGGACGACTCAGAGAGAGAGGGCGACTCAGAGAGAGAGGGCGACTCAGAGAGAGGACGACTCAGAGAGAGAGAGGACGACTCAGAGAGAGATAGGGCGACTCAGAGAGAGGACGACTCAGAGAGAGGGCGACTCAGAAAGAGAGGACGACTCAGAGAGAGAGGACGACTCAGAGAGAGAGGACGACTCAGAGAGAGAGGACGACTCAGAGAGAGAGGACGACTCAGAGAGAGAGGACGACTCATAGAGAGAGGGCGACTCAGAGAGAGACTCAGAGAGAGATAGGGTGACTCATAGAAAGAGGGCGACTCAGAGAGAGAGGGCGACTCAGAGAGAGACTCAGAGAGAGAGGGCGACTCAGAGAAAGGGCGACTCAGAGAGAGACTCAGAGAGAGAGGACGACTCAGAGAGAGAGAGACTCAGAGAGAGGACGACTCAGAGAGAGAGACTCCGAGAGAGAGGGCGACTCAGAGAGAGGGCGACTCACAGAGAGAGAGGACGACTCAGAGAGAGAGAGAGCACGACTCAGAGAGAGACTCAGAGAGAGAGGACGACTCCGAGAGAGAGGGCGACTCATAGAGAGAGGACGACTCAGAGAGAGAGGGCGACTCAGAGAGAGGGCGACTCAGAAAGAGAGGGCGACTCAGAGAGAGGACGACTCAGAGAGAGATAGGGCGACTCAGAGAGAGGGCGACTCACAGAGAGAGAGGACGACTCAGAGAGAGAGGACGACTCAGAGAGAGACTCCGAGAGAGAGGGCGACTCATAGAGAGAGGACGACTCAGAGAGAGAGGGCGACTCAGAGAGAGGGCGACTCAGAAAGAGAGGGCGACTCAGAGAGAGGACGACTCAGAGAGAGAGAGAGGACGACTCAGAGAGAGATAGGGCGACTCAGAGAGAGGACGACTCAGAGAGAGGGCGACTCAGAAAGAGAGGACGACTCAGAGAGAGAGGGCGACTCAGAGAGAGACTCAGAGAAGGCGACTCAGAGAGAGAGGACGACTCAGAGAGAGACTCAGAGAGGGCGACTCAGAGAGAGAGACTCAGAGACTCAGAGCGAGGACGACTCAGAGAGAGACTCAGAGAGAGAGACGACTAAGAGAGAGGACGACTCAGAGAGAGAGGACGACTCAGAAAGAGAGAGGGCGACTCAGAGCGAGGACGACTCAGAGAGACTCAGAGAGAGAGACGACTAAGAGAGAGAGACGACTAAGAGAGAGGACGACTCAGAGAGAGAGAGGGCGACTCAGAGAGAGGACGACTCAGAGAGAGAGGACGACTCAGAGAGAGAGGGCGACTCAGAGAGAGAGGACGACTCAGAGAGAGAGGGCGACTCAGAGAGGACGACTCAGAGAGAGAGAGAAAGGACGACTCAGTGGGCCCAGGAGGAGGAACCACAGACGACGAGTGGGAGGGCAGCAGCAGCCACGCAGTGACGAGGAGCCGTCGCTACCCAACGATCGCCCTCCAAGCTCTGCGGTTCTATCTATATCTATCCATATATCTATCTATATAGATATCTATATATATATTTATATATACGTGAAGATGTGTTCAGACAATAGAGGTTTTTCTTTTTTTACTTTTTACACGCGGGAGGAAACCAGAGCACCCAGAGAACACGCCGCGCGAGGGGGCAACACTCGATCCCCGTACGGATGGAACACATTGAATCTACACTTTGCTGCACCGTCTTCTCCCGCCAGAGCCGGGGCCACGAGGTCGTCGTCGACCACCGCGGGCAGGAGGGAGTTTCACTGCCGATCTGTGCGGTGACCCACCAACCCCCCTCTGCCGCTTGCCTGCACAAGCGCCGGGCTGAATGCTGCGGCGGCAAGCACCGGCCCCTCTCCACTGGCAGCCGACTGTGGCTTGCGGGCCAGCTGTGCTCAGCCACGTTGTGCCGCACAGGGACAGCTGACACTGGGGGGGGGGGGCGCTACGGTGGCTAGGAGATGTTAACTACCTCGCCTGGTGTACAGGAAGTCGTGGACTCGATCCCGACCACCACGCCTGCTGCTGTATATTTGGAGTTTGCGGTGTCTCTCTGTCTCCCCGTAGAGATGTTAACTACCTCGCCTGGTCTACAGGAGGTCGTGGGTTACATCCCAACCCTGACGCCTGCTGCTGTATATTGCGAGTTTGCGTGTCTCTCTCTCAATAGAGATGTTAACTACCTCGGCTGGTGTACAGGAGGTCGTGGATTCTATCCCGACCGTGACGCCTGCTGCTGTACATTTGGAGTGTGCGTGTCTCTCTCTCAATAGAGATGTTAACTACCTCGCCTGGTATACAGGAGGTCGTGGATTCTATCCCGACCGTGACACCTGCTGCTGTATATTTGGAGTTTGCGTGTCTCTCTCAATAGAGATGTTAACTACCTCGGCTGGTGTACAGGAGGTCGTGGATTCTATCCCGACCGTGACGCCTGTTGCTGCTACTGCTGAATATTTGGAGTTTGCGTGTCTCTCTCTCTCTCCCCGTGGTGGTCGCGTGGATTTTTCTCCGGGTCCTCCGGTTTTTCCCCTTCGCATTTAGAATCAACGTCGCCCGTTTAAGAGAATTTCGCTGCTTTATAAAGACTCAGATGTGGCCAGGTCGCTTCTGAGTGGGACCCCCCCCCCTACCTGCTACAAGAAAACAACAATTGTTCAGTTTGAAACGAGATGCGGCGAGTTGACGAGGCGTGCAAGCGCCACACAAATACACAGACGATGATTATTATTGGCATGCAATCATTCACGTCACAAGGCCTTCATTCAGCAGTGGACTGAATCATTGCTGCTGCTGCTGCTGCTATCGATTCAGGCCGGCATGGCTGCCTTGGATTCACATCACTCGGATGCGCCTGTCACCCGTGACCCCGTGTTGACCGTGACCCCTCTGCGACCCCGTATTGACCGTGACCCCTCTGTGACCCCGCGTCACCTGCGAGGCCCTCCGCGTCCCAGCTTCCGCAGTCGCTGCTGGAGGCGAGACAGCGACTCCAGGATCCACATGGCGGCTCCGCGGCGATCCGCTCCGGGTCTTGCAGCAGCAGCAGCAGCCACGGTGCCCAGAGCGCAGATCCCGTGAGCCGCGCCTGATCCCAGACGAGGAGTTCCAGGCCGGGATTCCAACCGCAACCCTCAGACCCAGAGCTAAACCCAGACCTTGGTACATCCCCGACACGTAACTTAAACCCCCAGAGGACTCCTAAGAGCGTAAACGACTCCTCCAGCCCTAACCCTGAGCCTTGAGCTGTCGTCTAAACCGGGCTTTGTCGCAGACTTTAGACCCCGACCCTTACGCAAGCACGATACCCCCTGGCCAGTCCTTAACCTCAAAGTCGTACTCTGATTCTGAACCGTGACCCTGAAACCAGACCCTGACCGGGACTTTAACCGAGACTTTTAACACCTGACGCCAACGCCGATTTAAATCTTAAACCAGACCCAGACTTTAAATCTAAACTCAGAGAGCCCAGATTTAGACCCAGAGACCCAGACCTCTCAACTTGAGACTCTTACCCAGACTTTAGACCCAGACCTCGACCCCCCCCCCCTTGACCCTCGACTCCCCCACCCCCAACCCTGACCCCACGATTAACCCCTGACCCCACGATTAACCCCTGACCCCAACACGAACATTTACCCGGATCGAAACGTCGAAGTTTTTGGTTATTTTCCGTGAACCATCGACGTGGCTTTACCGAAAGAGCCGGAGCGGCAGATGTAGCAGCCTAGCCCAGCTGGACTCTAACCGGGGACCCCCGCCCCCCACTTGAAACCCACTTTCGCCAGGCGTCGCCTCTGCCGCCGCCCGCTCCTCGCGAAGAGCCCAGAGCCGAAACGTCGGACTCCGTCAAGATTCTCCGTGGCCACACGAAGTCGCCGCCTCCGTCCGAGCGAGCCGCGTTCTCTGCCACGCTCGCCGCGTCTCAACAAAAAATAAAAATCTAAAAATAGAGGACGCGCTGAGACGGTGGGGAGAGTGTCTCAGGGGGGGGGGGGGGGGGGGCTACCTCCCTGTCTGCCCCCCACTCTGCCTCCGACCCTCCCCGCCGCCCAGCCAGCGATAAACACGAAGACTCCTCCCCGGTGGAGCCTTTAATAGCCAGCTGGGGCGAGTGTTGGTGGCGAGTAGCGAGTGTTGGTGGCGAGTGTTGGTGGCGAGTGTTAGTGGGGAGTGTTGTTGAAGAGTGGCGAGTGTTGGTGGCGAGTGTTGGTGGTGAGTGTTGTTGGTGAGTGTTGGTGGCGAGTGTTGTTGAAGAGTGGTGAGTGTTGGTGGTGAGTGTTGTTGGCGAGTAGCGAGTGTTGGTGGCGAGTAGCGAGTGTTGGTGGCGAGTGTTGTTGGTGAGTGTTGGTGGCGAGTGTTGTTGAAGAGTGGTGAGTGTTGGTGGTGAGTGTTGTTGGCGAGTAGCGAGTGTTGTTGGTGAGTGTTGGTGGCGAGTGTTGTTGAAGAGTGGCGAGTGTTGGTGGTGAGTGGCGGCACCTGTGACGTCTGACACTACGCACGTGGGGGGGGGGAGGAGGCAGTGGGTGGTCCACGCCACGCCCGGCCGCCTTTGTCTCCCTAAGCGGCGATGTTTACACACCGCGCCAAGTCAACCTAGGGGTTGGACCCAGGACCGGTTCGGATAGACACCTAGCCTGGCACCAGCCCGGGTCTCATTAAGACAGGCACCTGGCCTGGCACCAGCCCGGGTCTCATTAAGACAGGCACCTGGCCTGGCACCAGCCCGGGTCTCATTAAGACAGGCACCTGGCCTGGCACCAGCAGGCACCTCGTCAGCGGTGCTGCCGGAGGCCGTGAATCCAAGAGGGGTCTCTTGCCAGGTTCGTCAGCGCTGCGCTAATCGCTGCGCCACCGCTCCCACCGGCACCGCCACAGCTGAGCCGTCGCCTCAGCTGTGGCTCGGCCCGCGATCCACACGGCTGGAGGTCGTGAGGCTCTGAGCCGGGACCATGCAGAGACTCACAGAGTCTCAAGAGGCTCGAGGTCTTGAGACTCAGAGCTGGGACCAGACAGAGACTCACAGAGACTCACGTCTTGAGACTCAGAGCTGGGACCATACAGAGACTCACAGAGACTCAGAGCTGGGTCCATACAAAGACTCACAGAGACTCAGTGCTGGGTCAATACAGATACTCACAGAGACTCACGTCTTGAGACTCAGAGCTGGGTCCATACAGACTCACAGAGACTCAGAGCTGGGTCCATACAGAGACTCACAGAGACTCACAGAGACTCAGAGCTGGGTCCATACAGAGACTCACGTCTTGAGACTCAGAGCTGGAACCACACAGAGACTCACAGAGACTCAGAGCTGGGTCAATACAGAGACTCACAGAGTCTCAAGTCTTGAGGCTCTGAGCCGGGACCATACAGAGACTCAAGTCTTGAGACTCAAGAGCTGGGTCAATGCGCATAGCCGGCTCAAGCGAGCCACGGCTCACTTGAGGCAGAGCCGAGCCAGGGCCGAGCCACTGCCGAGCCAGGGCCGAGCCAGAGCCGAGCTGTGACGAGGCGTCTCAGTGGATCCCGGCGAGTCCCGCGGGTTTTGGGTGCGAGAATCAAGAACCGAGAAACCTCACCACCATCTCACCACAACACCATCATCCTCACCACAACACCATCATCCTCACCACCACCACCTCACCACAACACCATCATCCTCACCACAACACCATCATCCTCACCACCACCTCACCACAACACCATCATCCTCATCACCATCTCACCACAACCTCACAACACCACCTCACCACCACCTCACCACAACACCATCATCCTCATCTCACCACAACACCATCATCCTCACCACAACACCATAATCGGCCTTCCCACGCCCTTACCTGGAACCCACCACTCTCCCACTAATCGCCCTCACCACCACCACAATGCCACTAACCGCCCTCACCACCACCACCATCCCACTAATCGCCCTCACCACCACCACAATCCCACTAATCGCCCTCACCACCAGCACAATCCCACTAATCACCACCACCACAATCCCACTAATCGCCCTCACCACCAGCACAATCCCACTAATCACCACCACCACAATCCCACTAATCGCCCTCCCCACCCACCACTCACCCGGAGCCCCACCGCTTTGCCCCCAGGGCCTCCCTTCCCAAGAACCTCCCCTCCCTCCACCCCCCCTCCACCCCTCCCTGTGGGGGAGCCCCGCCCCTCGGGACCTCCCAAGACGTCTCCACCCCGCCCCCACCCCGCCTCAAATAGCGCCCAGGATGAGTGGCACCGGCAGATGCCCGCTGACACCCTCCGGGCCCGACTGGTCCCACGCACCTAGCCTGGCACCAGCTTGGGTCTCTCATCACAGCAGGGACCTAGCCTGGCACCTAGCCTGGCACCAGCCCAGGTCTATCGCTAAGGCAGACACCTAGCCTGGCACCAGCTTGGGTCTCCCATCACAGCAGGGACCTAGCCTGGCACCAGCCCAGGTCTATCGCTAAGGCAGACACCTAGCCTGGCACCTAGCCTGGCACCAGCGCGGGTCTGACAGGCACCTAGCCTGGCACCGGAAGAGGACCGTGTCAAGGGACGCACACTGACGACGATGAGAGAAGTTTAATTGCAAAGGGGCACTCCGAGCAGAGCGGGGAACGGAACATTCAACGTACACACACAACACATACACAACACATACACACAACCACACAACACATACACACAACCACACACAACCACGTACACACAACACACATACAACCACGTACACACAACACACATACAACCACGTACACACACAACTACACACATACACACAACCACGTACACACACAACACATACACAACACATACAACCACGTACACACACACAACACATACACACACAACCACGTACACACAACACATACACACAACACATACACACACAACCACGTACACACACAACTACACACAACCACGTACACACACACAACCACACACATACACACAACCACGTACACACACAACTACACACATACACACACAACCACACACACAACACATACACACAACACATACAACCACGTACACACACACAACACATACACACAACACATACAACCACGTACACACACACAACACATACACACACAACCACGTACACACAACACATACACACACAACCACGTACACACACAACTACACACAACCACGTACACACACACAACCACACACATACACACAACCACACACATACACACAACCACGTACACACACAATTACACACATACACACACAACACATACACACACACATACTACACACAACCACGTACACACATACACACACACACAACCACGTACACACACGTACACACATACACACACACACAACCACGTACACACACACAACCACGTACACACACACAAAACCACATACACACACACAACACATACACACACAACACATACACACACAACCACACATACACAACCACAAAGACAAAGATCCCCCATATAGCCTTAACGGTACACGAGGGGGTGGGTGGCCAGCACCACGCCCGACCGCCTTTGTCTCCCTAGTGGCAATGTTTACACACCGCACCAGGTACTCATTTGAGGCTGAGTCGACCTAGGGGAGGCCCGGGACCGGTTCAGATAATCGTCACTGGTGTTGGCCGTGAGCGGGAATCGAACCCGGGTCGCCAGGTTCATAGCGCAGCGCGCTAACCGCTACACTACCGCTCCCCACACACAACAACACATACACACACATACACACACACAACCACGTACACACACAACTACACACAACCACGTACACACAACAACAACCGCCATTCGCCACTAAGTGGCGGTGACGTCACCATGACGCTTGTGCCAGGCTATGTGCACCCACAACCACACATACACACACACAACCACGTACACACAACCACACATACACACACACAACCACACACAACCACGTTTACACAACCACACATACACACACACCCAACCACGTACGCACACAACACATACACACACAACCACACATACAACCACGTACACACACAACAACACATACACACACACATACAACCACATACACACACACATACAACCACATGCACACACACGCAACCACACACACACACAACCACACACGTGTGTGCGGGTGCTCGCTAACGGCACTTGCCCCAACAGTCTGTGAAAGCTATACGAGGAATCTTTGTCTTTGTGTGCGTGCGTGTGGGGAGCGGTGGCGCAGAGGTTAGCGAACCGAGTTTGATTCCCGCTCACGGGCCACCAACACCACCAACAACACCAGTGACCTCAACCGGTCCTGGGCCTCCCCTAGGTCGACTCGGCCTCAAATGAGTTCCCGGTGTGTTGCGCGTAAACGCCACCGCTGGGGAGACAAAGGCGGCCGGGCGTGGTGCTGCCCCCCCCCCCCTCGTGTGCCACAGCGCCGGTGGCCTTCACAGGTGACAGCACTTGCCCCAACAGCGTCACCGTCTCTGCTTGCTGGTGGTGGTGGCGGTGGTGTCTTTGGTGGTGGTGGTGGTGGCGGTGGTGTCACTGTGGTGCGGTGTTGTTGGTGTCCCCGGTGGCAGGGTCGCTGGTGGTGGTGGCGTCAGTGTCTTTGGTGGTGTCGCTGGTGGTGGTGGCTATGTCCCTGGTGGTGGTGGTGTCTGTGGTGGTGGCTATGTCCCTGGTGGTGGTGGTGTCTGTGGTGGTGGCTATGTCCATGGTGGTGGTGGCGGTGGCTATGTCCATGGTGGTGGTGGTGTCTGTGGTGGTGGCTATGTCCCTGGTGGTGGTGGTATCTGTGGTGGTGGCTATGTCCCTGGTGGTGGTGGTGTCTGTGGCGGTGGCTATGTCCATGGTGGTGGTGGCGGTGGCTATGTCCATGGTGGTGGTGGTGTCTGTGGTGGTGGCTATGTCCATGGTGGTGGTGGCGGTGGCTATGGCCATGGTAGTGGTGGTGTCTGTGGTGGTGGCTATGTCCATGGTGGTGGTGGTGGTGGCGGTGTCTTTGGTGGTGTTACTGGTGGTGGTGGCTATGTCCATGGTGGTGGTGGTGGCTATGTCCATGGTGGTGGTGGTGTCCCTGGAGGGGGTGGTGGTGTCCGTGGTGGTGGTGGTGGTAGTGGTGGTGTCCGTGGAGGTGGTGGTGTCCGTGTTCCTGGCTGTGTCTCTGGCCGTATTCCTGCCGCCGCCGCCGCCGCCGGTGGTGTTGGTGGTGTTGAGGGCGCTCTGGCTGCGGATGCTCGTGTCCATCTTGAGCACCTCGCGCACCGCCATGGTCGCGTAACTCGAGGGGGGCAGCGAAAACTCCATCTTGAGCGCGCGGTACCGCCCCTCTGCTCACGCACACGGACAGGATGTTAACCACCTCGCCCGGTGCGCAGGAGGTCGTGGGTTCGACCCCGACGCCCGTCTATGCGGAGCCCGCGCGCCTCTCTCCCCCCGGTCACGTGGACTGTGCTCCGGCTCCTCCGGTCACTCCCCGCCGCGTCGAGCAGAATCGACATCACGCGTTCGCGATGGGAGACCGGAGGAATCCGACAAGCTACGAAGCTCGTTCCCCCCCCCCTCCCCCCCCCACACACAGACGTCCTTAAGGAGTATTTGGCTGCTAGAAACGTGATAGCCAGGTCGACTCGGGCTTTTCAGCCGGCTCAGCAGGGCCTTGCAGCGACAAAACAAATCGCTGCTCGGTTTTAGTTTCAGTAGCGGAGCCCACACAGCGTGGCGGGGGCAGAGCGCTGTCGGCGAGCGGCAGCCTACAAAGTCGGCGGGGGTCTTGGCCGGCGCCACGCGCGGCCGTCTTTGTCTTCCCAGTGGCCACGTTCACCGCACACGCCGGGGGAGAGGCCCGGCACCGGTTCAGGCAAAATCGTCGTCGGTGCCGGCCGAGAGAGGGCCTCAGGTAGGGCAGCGCGCCAACCGCGGCGCCACCGTTCGCCGGTACACGCGGCCCGCTTCCGCACGGCGCCGACCCCCCGACCGTGACCCCCCGACCGTGACCCCCGACCGTGACCTGTAACCCTCATGCACCGGGCTGGGCCGGACCCCCCGACCGTGACCCCCGACCGTGACCCCCGACCGTGACCCCCGACCGTGACCCCCCGACCGTGATCCCTGACCGTGACCCCTGACCATGACCTGTAAACCCTCACGCACCGGGCTGGGCCGGGGCGGGTGACCTCCCCTCCAGGAGGTCGAGGTCGGTGGCGATGAGAGGCACCGTGGAGTCGTCGTAGCGACACAGCTCCCTGCGTCGCCACGGCAACCGGGGGGGGGGGGGGGGGGAGGAGTTGAGGGTTAAACGTACAACTCGAGCCGGCGTCTCGTGACCGTCGTCGCGGTTACCGTGGTGACCGTCGTCGCGGTTACCGTGGTGACCGTCGTCGCGGTTACCGTGGTGACCGTCGTCGCGGTTAGCGTGGTGGTGGCTGTCATCGTGGTTACCGTGGTGACCGTCGTCGTGGTTACGGTGGTGGTGGCCGTCGTCGCAGTTACCGTGGTGGTGGCTGTCGTTGCGGTTACCGTGGTTACCGTCGTCATGGTTACCGTGGTGGTGGCCGTCGTCGTGGTTACGGCGGTGGTGGCCGTGTCTCACCAGGTCATGCCGCGTGGCCTCACGATGACCTTGCGGTAGGCCCCAGAGAGAGAATACTCTCGCACGCGGTGTCTCAGCTTGTCCACGTCCAGCCCGTCCGCGGACAGCATCTCACGGTACACGTCTCCCACTGCGGACACCGCAGGGACACAGCGGAGACGCCGTGAAGACACAGCGGAGACACGACGGGGGACATCACGGGGACATCACGGGGACATCACGGGGACACCACGGGGACAGCCCCCCACCACCACCCCCACCACCACCCCACCACCCCCCACCACCACCACCCCCCCCCACCACCACCACCCCCCCACCAGCACCACCCCCCCACCAGCACCACCCCCCCCACCAGCACCACCCCCCCACCAGCACCACCCCCCCACCAGCACCACCCCCCCACCAGCACCACCCCCCCACCAGCACCCCCCACCACCACCACCACCCCTCCCCACCACCACCCCACCACCACCACCACCACCCCTCACCACCACCACCCCCCCCACCAGCACCACCCCCCCACCAGCACCACCCCCCCACCAGTACCACCCCCCCACCACCACCCCCCACCACCAACCACTAGCCACCCCCCCCCACCCCCCCACCACCCCCCCCCCCCACCACCCCCCCCCCCCACCCCCCCACCACCCCCCCACCACCCCCCCACCACCCCCCACCACCACCACCCCCCCACCACCCCCCACCACCACCACCACCCCCCCACCACCCCCCCACCCCCCCCACCACCCACCCTTGTGGGTGGGGTAGACGACATCGAAGCCTGGCAGGGGCAGCACCACGTCCAGCACGGAGGCCGCCGGCGCCGACGCCGCATCCAGCAGCACCGGCGAGCCTGGGGCGGCACAGCGGCCTCGTCATCATCGTCATCGTCGTCATCGTCATCGTCATCATCATCGTCATCATTAACATCGTCATCAACATCGTCATCATCATTAAGATCGTCATCAACATCGTCATCATCGTCATCTACATCGTCATCGTCATCTACATCGTCATCATCGTCGTCATCATCATCTACATTGTCATCATCGTCATCATCGTCATCGTCGTCATCGTCGTCATCGTCATCGTCAACATCGTCATCATCATCATCTACATCGTCGTCATCATCGTCATCGTCATCATCACCATAATCGTCATCATCACCATAATCGTCATCATCACCATAATCGTCATCATCATCATAATCTACATCGTCATCAACATCGTGATCATGATCATCTTCATCGTCATCATCATCAACATCGTCATCCTCATCAACATCGTCATTATCATCATCAACATCGTCGTCATCATCATCTACATAGTCATCATCATCAACATCGTCGTCATCTACATCGTCATCATCATCAACATCGTCATCATCATCTACATCGTCATCATCAACTACATCGTCATCATCATCAACATCGTCATCAACTACATCGTCATCAACTACATCGTCATCATCATCAACATCGTCATCACCCCTCACCTCACCATGGTGAGAAAGTGTGGTGAGTGAGCGAGCGAGCGAGCGTGGTGAGCGAGCGTGGTGAGCGGGGTGAGCGAGCGTGGTGAGCGTGGCGAGTGTGGTGAGCGTGGTGAGCGTGGTGAGCGTGGTGAGCGTGCGTGGTGAGTGTGGTGAGCGAGCGTGGTGAGCGTGGTGAGCGTGGTGAGGGAGCGAGCGTGGTGAGCGAGCGTGGTGAGCGTGGTGAGCGAGCGTGGTGAGCGTGGTGAGTGTGGTGAGCGTGGTGAGCGTGGCGAGCGTGGTGAGCGTGGTGAGCGTGGTGAGTGTGGTGAGCGTGGTGAGCGTGGTGAGCGTGGTGAGCGTGGTGAGTGTGGTGAGCGTGGTGAGCGTGGTGGGTGAGCGTGGTGAGCGTGGTGAGCGTGGTGAGCGTGGTGAGCGAGCGTGGTGAGTGTGGTGAGCGTGGTGAGTGTGGTGAGCGAGCGTGGTGAGCGTGGTGAGGGAGCTAGCGTGGTGAGCGTGGTGAGCGTGGTGAGTGTAGTGAGTGTGGTGAGCGTGGTGAGCGTGGTGAGCGTAGTGAGTGTGGTGAGCGAGCGTGGTGAGCGTGGTGAGCGAGCGTGGTGAGCGTGGTGAGCGAGCGTGGTGAGGGAGCGAGCGTGGTGAGCGAGCGTGGTGAGCGTGGTGAGCGTGGTGAGCGAGCGTGGTGAGCGTGGTGAGCGTGGTGAGCGTGGTGAGCGTGGTGAGTGTGGTGAGCGTGGTGAGCGTGGTGAGCGTGGTGAGCGTGGTGAGTGCGGCTTCACCGTCATGGTCTAGCACGAGGTCCCCCGGCACAGGCCGTAGGCCCAGGAGCCGAATGCGAGCAGATGCAGCGGCGTTCCACACGGCACTCTGGTAGCTGTGCAGGTACATCAGCCTGGTGTTGCGTGGGATCTGTCAACAACAACAACAACAACACAGCTACATCAGCCTGGTGTTGCGTGGGATCTGTCAACAACAACAACAACACAGGTACATCAGCCTGGTGTTCCGTGGGATCTGTCAACAACAACACAGGTACATCAGCCTGGTGTTGCGTGGGATCTGTCAACAACAACAACAACACAGGTACATCAGCCTGGTGTTGCGTGGGATCTGTCAACAACAACAACACAGGTACATGAGCCTGGTGTTGCGTGGGATCTGTCAACAACAACAACACAGGTACATGAGCCTGGTGTTGCGTGGGATCTGTCAACAACAATAACACAGGTACATGAGCCTGGTGTTGCGTGGGATCTGTCAACAACAACAACAACACAGGTACATCAGCCTGGTGTTGCGTGGGATCTGTCAACAACAATAACACAGGTACATGAGCCTGGTGTTGCGTGGGATCTGTCAACAACAATAACACAGGTACATCAGCCTGGTGTTGCGTGGGATCTGTCAACAACAACAACACAGGTACATCAGCCTCGTGTTGCGTGGGATCTGTCAACAACAACAATAACAACACAGGTACATCAGCCTGGTGTTGCGTGGGATCTGTCAACAACAACAACACAGGTACATCAGCCTCGTGTTGCGTGGGATCTGTCAACAACAACAATAACAACACAGGTACATCAGCCTGGTGTTGTGTGAGATCTGTCAACAACAACAATAACAACACAGGTACATCAGCCTCGTGTTGTGTGAGATCTGTCAACAACAACAACAACACAGGTACATCAGCCTGGTGTTCCGTGGGATCTGTCAACAACAACAACAACAACACAGGTACATCAGTCTCGTGTTGCGTGGGATCTGTCAACAACAACAATAACAACACAGGTACATCAGTCTGGTGTTGCGTGGGATCTGTCAACAACAACAACAACACAGGTACATCAGCCTGGTGTTGCGTGGGATCTGTCAACAACAACACAGGTACATCAGCCTGGTGTTGCGTGGGATCTGTCAACAACAACAACAACACAGGTACATCAGCCTGGTGTTGCGTGGGATCTGTCAACAACAACAACAACACAGGTACATCAGACTCGTGTTGCGTGGGATCTGTCAACAACAACAATAACAACACAGGTACATCAGCCTGGTGTTCCGTGGGATCTGTCAACAACAACAACAACACAGGTACATCAGCCTGGTGTTCCGTGGGATCTGTCAACAACAACAACAACAACACAGGTACATCAGCCTGGTGTTGCGTGGGATCTGTCAACAACAACAACAACACAGGTACATCAGCCTGGTGTTGCGTGGGATCTGTCAACAACAACAACAACAACAACACAGGTACATCAGCCTGGTGTTGCGTGGGATCTGTCAACAACAACAACACAGGTACATCAGCCTGGTGTTCCGTGGGATCTGTCAACAACAACAACAACACAGGTACATGAGCCTGGTGTTGCGTGGGATCTGTCAACAACAACAACACAGGTACATCAGCCTGGTGTTGCGTGGGATCTGTCAACAACAATAACAACACAGGTACATCAGCCTGGTGTTGCGTGGGATCTGTCAACAACAACAACACAGGTACATCAGCCTGGTGTTGCGTGGGATCTGTCAACAACAACAACAACACAGGTACATCAGCCTGGTGTTCCGTGGGATCTGTCAACAACAACAACAACACAGGTACATCAGCCTGGTGTTGCGTGGGATCTGTCAACAACAACAACAACACAGGTACATCAGCCTGGTGTTGCGTGGGATCTGTCAACAACAACAACACAGGTACATCAGCCTGGTGTTGCGTGAGATCTGTCAACAACAACAACAACACAGGTACATCGAGCCTGGTGTTTCGTGGGATCTGTCAACAACAACAACACAGGTACATCAGCCTGGTGTTGCGTGGGATCTGTCAACAACAACAACACAGGTACATCAGCCTGGTGTTGCGTGAGATCTGTCAACAACAACAACAACACAGGTACATCAGCCTGGTGTTGCGTGGGATCTGTCAACAACAACAACACAGGTACATCAGCCTGGTGTTCCGTGGGATCTGTCAACAACAACAACAACAACACAGGTACATCAGCCTCGTGTTGCGTGGGATCTGTCAACAACAACAACACAGGTACATCAGCCTGGTGTTGCGTGGGATCTGTCAACAACAACAACAACACAGGTACATCAGCCTCGTGTTCCGTGGGATCTGTCAACAACAACAACACAGCTACATCAGCCTCGTGTTCCGTGGGATCTGTCAACAACAACAACAACACAGGTACATCAGCCTGGTGTTCCGTGGGATCTGTCAACAACAACAACAACACAGGTACATCAGCCTGGTGTTGCGTGGGATCTGTCAACAACAACAACAACACAGGTACATCAGCCTGGTGTTGCGTGGGATCTGTCAACAACAACAACACAGGTACATCAGCCTGGTGTTGCGTGGGATCTGTCAACAACAACAACACAGGTACATCAGCCTGGTGTTGCGTGGGATCTGTCAACAACAACAACACAGGTACATCAGCCTGGTGTTCCGTGGGATCTGTCAACAACAACAACACAGGTACATCAGCCTGGTGTTGCGTGGGATCTGTCAACAACAACAACACAGGTACATCAGCCTGGTGTTGCGTGGGATCTGTCAACAACAACAACACAGGTACATCAGCCTGGTGGTGCGTGGGATCTGTCAACAACAACAACACAGGTACATCAGCCTGGTGTTGCGTGGGATCTGTCAACAACAACAACACAGGTACATCAGCCTGGTGTTGCGTGGGATCTGTCAACAACAACAACACAGGTACATCAGCCTGGTGTTGCGTGGGATCTGTCAACAACAAACACAGGTACATCAGCCTCGGTGTTGCGTGGGATCTGTCAACAACAACAACACAGGTACATCAGCCTGGTGTTGCGTGGGATCTGTCAACAACAACAATAACACGGATACATCAGCCTGGTGTTCCGTGGGATCTGTCAACAACAACAACAACACAGGTACATCAGCCTCGTGTTGCGTGGGATCTGTCAACAACAACAACACAGGTACATCAGCCTCGGTGTTCGTGGGATCTGTCAACAACAACAACAACACAGGTACATCAGCCTGGTGTTGCGTGGGATCTGTCAACAACAACAACACAGGTACATCAGCCTCGGTGTTGCGTGGGATCTGTCAACAACAACAACACAGGTACATCAGCCTGGTGTTGCGTGGGATCTGTCAACAACAACAACAACACAGGTACATGAGCCTGGTGTTGCGTGGGATCTGTCAACAACAACAACAACAACACAGCTACATCAGCCTGGTGTTCCGTGGGATCTGTCAACAACAACACAGGTACATCAGCCTGGTGTTCCGTGGGATCTGTCAACAACAACAATAACAACACAGGTACATGAGCCTGGTGTTGCGTGGGATCTGTCAACAACAACAACAACACAGGTACATCAGCCTGGTGTTGCGTGGGATCTGTCAACAACAACAACAACACAGGTACATCAGCCTGGTGTTCCGTGGGATCTGTCAACAACAACACAGGTACATGAGCCTGGTGTTGCGTGGGATCTGTCAACAACAACAACAACAACACAGCTACATCAGCCTGGTGTTCCGTGGGATCTGTCAACAACAACAACACAGGTACATCAGACTGGTGTTCCGTGGGATCTGTCAACAACAACAATAACACGGATACATCAGCCTCGTGTTGTGTGAGATCTGTCAACAACAACAACAACAACACAGGTACATCAGCCTCGTGTTGTGTGAGATCTGTCAACAACAACAACAACACAGGTACATCAGCCTGGTGTTGCGTGGGATCTGTCAACAACAACAACACAGGTACATCAGCCTCGTGTTGTGTGAGATCTGTCAACAACAACAACACAGGTACATCAGCCTCGTGTTGCTGTGAGATCTGTCAACAACAACAACACACAGGTACATCAGCCTCGTGTTGCGTGGGATCTGTCAACAACAACAACAACACAGGTACATCAGCCTCGTGTTCCGTGGGATCTGTCAACAACAACAACAACACAGGTACATCAGCCTCGTGTTCCGTGGGATCTGTCAACAACAACAACAACACAGGTACATCAGCCTCGTGTTGCGTGGGATCTGTCAACAACAACAACACAGGTACATCAGCCCTCGGTGTTGCTGTGAGATCTGTCAACAACAACAACACAGGTACATCAGCCTCGTGTTCCGTGAGATCTGTCAACAACAACAACACAGGTACATCAGCCTGGTGTTCCGTGGGATCTGTCAACAACAACAACACAGGTACATCAGCCTGGTGTTCCGTGGGATCTGTCAACAACAATAACAACACAGGTACATCAGCCTGGTGTTCCGTGGGATCTGTCAACAACAACAACAACAACACAGGTACATCAGCCTGGTGTTCCGTGGGATCTGTCAACAACAATAACAACACAGGTACATCAGCCTGGTGTTCCGTGGGATCTGTCAACAACAACAACAACACAGGTACATCAGCCTGGTGTTCCGTGGGATCTGTCAACAACAATAACAACACAGGTACATCAGCCTGGTGTTCCGTGGGATCTGTCAACAACAATAACAACACAGGTACATCAGCCTGGTGTTGCGTGGGATCTGTCAACAACAACAACAACACAGGTACATCAGCCTGGTGTTGCGTGGGATCTGTCAACAACAACAACACAGGTACATCAGCCTGGTGTTGCGTGGGATCTGTCAACAACAATAACACAGGTACATCAGCCTGGTGTTGCGTGGGATCTGTCAACAACAACAACACAGGTACATCAGCCTGGTGTTGCGTGGGATCTGTCAACAACAATAACACAGGTACATCAGCCTGGTGTTGCGTGGGATCTGTCAACAACAACAACACAGGTACATCAGCCTCGTGTTCCATGGGATCTGTCAACAACAACAACAACACAAGTACATCAGCCTCGTGTTCCGTGGG